TTAGAAACCCGGCCTTTCTTTACGGGAGAGGCTCTATATCATAGTCAATATCCACTCAGTGCTAAGCATTACTTCCCACAATTACATCTTCAGTCTTGAATTGAAATTACAAGTATGAAGGAGTGTCTAAACCCTTCACCCAACACAATGCATAAAATAGCTCATAGATTCAATAGGTGAAAATGGACTTTCAACCTTAGAATCATAACATAGTGAGAAGAACTTTCACATCATGATCATTATGTGTTTATGAGAATGTACTTTCAATTAACACAATAATTAAGTTATAATTATGTTCATAAAGTGCATATACATGTAGTCCAAAATTAGGCATAATTCTCATGGCTTACCCATCTTGGTTCAAGGATCACATTCACCCAACAAATCTAGGGTTAGTACATTTAACATGGATAATAATATAATCAAGAAACCACATTACAATAAGAACAATTCAATACAATTGACCTTACTACAATTCACCCACATTGGAGTCATAAATTTAGAGTTAGGAGGACTTCATAGATTCATGGTGAATTTATCATTAAAAAAACATCTTAAAAGCAGTAATTAAACCATAATATAAGACAATTAAACCTTTGAAAACAATTTGAGAAAGAATCCATGATTTGAAGAAAACCCTAGGTCTTTGGAGATTTTTCCTACTTTGAAATTGGAGAATTTAAGAGCTCCATGTAAGAAAGCATTCCATGGATCAGGATTACCATACCTTAATTGAAGATTCCTCATGAATTTGGGTAGCAAATATAAGTTCTTGAGCCCTAGACCTTGACTTTTTCTTCTTATTCGATGGAGGTTTTAGAGAGAGAATTATTTGGGAGGGAATGAGTTTGTTTTGGGGTCTTGAATGAATGAACTAATTCAATTAGTTTTGGGGTCTGTTACGTATATATAGTTAGTTTTTAATTATTATTAAAAATCCTACTTAATTAATTAATTAACCCTAATCCCCTCCCTTAACTCTAACTAAAACTAAATAACTAGTTTCCAGGGGTCACTCACGAAACCCCACCCACGGAACGTGGGTGGGTCTATGAGTCGTGCTGGCAAAACGTGGTTTGCATCAGACAGTTAGGAGATGCAGGGAGGTCCAGCCTAGACCCACGACGCCCACCTATGGGGTGTGGGTCCACCACGTCAAGCTTTTTTTTTACAGCTTTTTGGGCAGCCTCTTGGTCCTCCTCAAGGACCCTTGCTGGGTCCGGGTCCTTGGGGGGTCATACCTTGACGTTTATACCCAAAAACACTTGTACTAATTAACGGAGGTTATTTTACGACTCTATTCTTTACGTTACACCCATTCAGGCTACTAGTTTACGCTTTAGGCTCTAGTTTAGTCTTTTAGTTTTAGGAGGCATAACAATTAAGCACTTACATAGGTTCTATAAAAACATGCATAATCCCATACATTCATAATCTAGGTCATGTGGGTAAAGTCCTTCCATAATTATACCATATTCAATTTAACATGCATATTAGCTTTTACTCTAAAAGCCCTAATAATTATGTGTCATCATTCATGATTTCCATATACATCATACATGTCTAGTTCTTACGACAAATCTACTCATAATTTCTCATACATGTTTTACTCTTAAGCAATTCTAGTCATAATTCATCATGTAGGCTTAAAGCCAACATTTACTCACAATTATTCAACATATATACCTTACCTCATTCAATTCATATATGCATGCCCTAATCTCAAGCAATCTACTATACATATCATCAATCTTAGAAGATTATCTCTAAATCCTCAATTTCCCTTCTTAAGGCATAAACCCACATTACTTCAATTTCATCAATTAGACTAGGGTTAGACATAGAAAACATGTGAATTCATCAAAATAACATGATTCACTACTAATTCTATCATAAACAATCAATACCCACTCAATTGGGTCAACATACAACATAACCCACAATATTGAAGAAACCCTAACCTGAATTGGGGGAATTCTAAGGGGATCCATGGATGGAAGAATCCATGGATGAATAAGCTATCATACATTGGATACAAAGACCTCACAAATCTTGGAAGATTGGAGGAATTTGACCTAGCTTGATTTCTTCTTCTTCTTCTTCTTCTTCTTCTTCTTCTTCTTCTTCTTTTTCTTCTTTCTTGAGTTTTCTGGAGGGAGAATTTTTTAGAGGAAGAACTTATGTGTCACGACCCAAGCCTAGGGCCTAGACGTGACATGGCGAATGAGGAACCCGAAGGAACCCCAAACAAGCCTCTCAAACTTGTCATCACACTTCATCGGTCGCGGAAGTACATTCAACATTAATTAACGGGAAATAAGGACTAAGGCAAACCATTTCAAAATGACATCATAGAATAAGAGTCAAGCTCGTTTACAAAATACTTGTCCAACTCACACCTCTACATACATAGATAGGACGGGGGCCATGACATATTACCGGCTCCCCTCATAGTTAAAATACAATTGCAAGCTAAAGTCTCAAAACATAGGAGTAAGAAACATAACCTAGCCCTCGAATTATTGAGGACTCACCAACAAACTCGGATAAGCGTCGTACTAGCCACGTGAATGGAGAGAAGGATCAAGAGTAGCTCCGGTCCCTACATGGTGACATCATGTAGGCAAAATATGCGTTAGTACTTGGAATGTACTAAGTATGCGGGGTGCAACACAACAATAAACAAGGACACAATCGAAATACAAGAAATAGTTTCATAGGCATTATGAATAACAATATGAGGATGCATGATCAAAGTGAAGTCAAAACATGTTTAAGTAAATCTATACTAATAGTAGATATCATATGTGTATGCATGATCCAACCAATCTATAACCCCAACTTAGGATGGGGGATGCCGTTCACACCCGGACACCCTGGTGGCAAGGTATAAACCCCTCACATGGTTGATGTTGGTCACACCCCAAGCATCCTAGGTGGTGAGATATAAACCTCTCACATGGTTGATGTTGGTCACACCCCAAACATCCTAGGTGGTGAGATATAAACCTCTCACATGGTTGATGTTGGTCACACCCCAAACATCCTAGGTGGTGAGATATAAACCTCTCACATGGTTGTCCGGTTCTTTTCCCCCGGACCGGGCATGGTCATGCAACACTTTATATAGGAAATTCTCATTAGGCTCTAATGCAATCTCACGTATGGAATGAACATATACACAAGCTTAGTTTGTCATCAACACATCTTTGAAGTTCCATACATCTCATAACTCAAGCTTTAAAACATCAATTTATCAATTCTCCATAGTTGGACATTTTGTCAAACACCTTGAAGGCATGTAATGAAATCAAAGAGCATGGAAATTAGGGTAGTAATTATGCAACCAAAACAGTGAACAACCTACAACAACACCTTTACATTCATAACATGATCACATTATCTTCATTGGATTCTCATTCATATAATGTCATGATAACACTCCAATTTCTCATACTATGCCTTTAAGGCCATAAGCCTCACATACCAATACACCAACAATACACCATAAAATAAGCATGGGTAATGACATACTTCAACAATCTAAAGACCTTTAAACAAGTTTGATTCATATACATTCATTATCTAGCAACCACTTCATAAAGGCATAAACTAGGAATAGAGAGAAATCATGGGTTCATGGAGTATTTTCATCTTAAATCGTCAATACAACAACAATATAACCATAAAGTGTCATTAGAAACCTTTTAAAACCATTTGATGGAAGAACCCATGAGATTGAGTGAAAACCTAGATTTTTCATATTTTGAAGTAACTTTGGATTTGGCTCCTTGTATGGAAAATTAGACAAGGATCAAGACCCCCATACCTTTGCTATGATCTCCCACGAAAATTGATGAAGAAAGCCTTGAATCCAAAGCCCTAGCTCCCACTTCTTCTTCTTCTTAAATGGAGGATTGTAGAGAGGGAAATGTTTTTTTTTGGGATGGGAATTGGATTATGGTATCTAGGAATTAATATAAGTCCTTTGAAAAAAAGGGTCCAACACTTAGAAAAAAAAACAGGCGGGTGAACAGTAGATGAACAGTAAAATCAGCTACTGGAATTTGGATTTTCTGCCGGACAGACTTTACGAAAATGGGCATAACTTCTTCGTCCGAACTCCGAATAAGGTGAAACGAAGTGCGTTAGATAGCTAACTCAAAGGGCTTTCCATGGATATATTATTGGCCACCAAATAATTTGTGTGCTAGGAGATATGACCCTCCAAAGTAGACCCTCGAAAAAGGCTTCACTTGGAAATTTTGGATTTTGATACGGTTGCTCTAAAATTTGGGTTAGACCCATTTCCCACTCAATTTGACCCCCTAAACAAGAATATGAAGTCGGATTTTCGAAAAACGAAACGGATTTTGAGATATATGGAAATTACAATTATAGGTGTTTCCGAAGCACATTTTCGGGCATTTTTTGGGGTCGTTTCATTATGGATCTTTTGGGTTTTGGAAATAATGACTTAATTGGGATGGTTAAAGGGTTAAAATAGTTTATATAAGTGTAGTAAGACCATACAAAATGACCTCACGAGTTGTGGTGGTGGTCATGGATATTAGGCAGTACATCCCAAGTTTGGGGCAGCCTTGGCCCTTGGCTTGGGCCTTGGCCCTTTCCCCTTGCCTTGGCTCTTTTTCCTCACACTTAGACCTAGTTGGCCTACTAAACTATAGGTGTTACAAAGAGGGTACAAGATGATTATGAAACTCCACCTCTTTCATTACTCTAAATTCGTGACATAGAGTTTAACTCTATTAAATTTCTCTCATAATCCTTATACTATGCTCTACAGGATATGTCTAGGCGAAGAGCTTATGCTAGAACGAATGTGAAGGAGAATGTGGAACAAGAAGCTCCTCCTCATGCTCTAGTCGATCCCTTAGCCGAACAAGTTACAAATGCGGAGTTTAGATCGACTTTTCAAGTGTTGGCTCAAGCTGTGATGGCCTAAACCAATAAGGAGGTGGTATTCACCATTAACCCAAATGTGGGTAGGTACAACGGCTTCAAGAGTGAGGAATTTTATGAGGATCAACCCTCCAAAATTTTATGGCTCCAAATTTGAGGAGGACCCTCAAGAGTTTATTGATGAGGTCTATAAGGTATTTGATATCATGGGAGTGAATCCAGGAGAGAAGGCAGAATTGACCGCTTACAAATTGAAAGGTGTTTCTCAAGTGTGGTACAACCAATGGGAAAAGACAAGGCTGGTAGGGGCGGGTCCCATGGAGTGGGAAATGTTTAAATCGGTTTTTTTGGATAGGTTCTTTCCCCTAGATATGAGGGAAGCGTATGTGCTTGAATTCATCAACCTTCATCAAGTAAGTATGAATGTGAGGGAATATGCTCTAAATTTCACTCAATTGTCGAAATATCTTCCAACAATGGTTGCGTATTCAAGGGATAGAATGAGTAAGTTTGTGTCGGGAGTGTCCAAAATGGTGGTTAAAGAGTGTTGTACTGCCATGCTCATTGGTGACATGGGCATTTCTCATCTCATGGTACATACACAACAAATTGAAGAGTAGAAACTTAAAGAGAAGTCTAGAGAGGTAAAAAGGGTTAAGACCAGTGATGGTAATTTCTCACATGCTAGATTCGATGGACATGGTCATCGTAAGTTTCGTCAAGGGTATTTCGGTCAAGGTTCCTCTAATGCTCCACCTAGGTTTAACAATAATAGGGTGTCTAACCTTAAACCTCAAGGAGGTAGTGGAGGTCTAGGACTACTTGTGCCAAGAGTGGAAAGAAACATAATGGTAAGCGCCTAGCCGGCACTGACGGTTGCTTTGGTTGCAGGAAGAGTGGTCACAAAATGAGGGATTTCCCCATGCTTGCAGCAAAAGGGAGAGAGGGAAAGCAAGTTCCTCCTAGTGGGTCGAACTCCAATGCTCTGAAGCAAAACCGCTTTTATGCTCTCCAAACACGTAGTGACCAAGAGAGTTCTCTGGATGTAGTTACGGGTATGTTAAAAGTTTTTTCAACTTGATGTATATGTTTTTCTTTATCCCAGTGCTACTTTGTCATTTATGATACCATATGTGGCCATGGAGTTTGATGTGCTCCCCGATATATTATTAGAACATTTTTCGGTCTCTACTCATGTTGATGATTCTGTGGTGGCTAAGAGGGTCTATAGAAAGTGTCGTATTTCCTTTTCCCATAAAGTTAGTCTTGTTGACTTGGTAGAGCTTGACATGTTAGACTTTGATGTTATTTTGGGATGGATTGGTTGCATGCTTGCTATGCTACTATAGATTGTAGGACTCAAGTGGTCAGGTTTCAATTTCCAAAAGAGCCTATCCTAGAGTGGAAGGGGGGAAATTCTATGCCCAGGGGAAGTTTGTCTCTTGTGTAAATGCTAGAAATATGATTTCTATGGGTTGCATTTACCATATAGTAAGGGTGAGGGATGTCGATTCTGATACCCTTTCTCTTGAGTCGGTCCCCATTGTCAATGAGTTTCCGGAAGTGTTCCCCGATGATTTACCTGGTATTACTCCCGAGTGGGAAATGGACTTCAGTATTGACCTTCTCCCCAATACACAACCTATCTCTATCCCTCCTTATAGAATGGTCCTGGCTGAGTTAAAGGAGTTGAAAGAACATTTAAAGGATTTGTTGGATAAGAGCTTCATCCGACCGAGTGTCTCTCCATGGGGTGCTCCAGTGTTGTTCGTTAGGAAGAAGGATGATCCTCTTCGTATGCGCATTGATTATAGACAGTTGAACAATATGACTATCAAGAACAAATATCCTCTTTGAAGGATCGACGACTTGTTTGACCAACTTCAAAGGGCTAGATATTTTTCTAGGATCGATCTTCGATCAGGTTATCACCAATTGAGGGTGAAAAATTATTACATTCCAAAGATGGCTTTTTGAAATCGGTATGGTCATTATGAGTTCTTGGTAATGTCGTTTGGGTTGAGTAATGCTCCGGTGGCGTTTATGGACTTAATAAATAGGGTGTGTATACAATACCTTGATATGTTCGTAATTGTGTTTATTGATGACATTTTAATCTATTCGAGGAGTGAGAATGAGAATATTGGTCATTTGTGAATTGTGTTGCAAATTTTTAAAGACCAAAAACTTTTACAAATTTTAGCAAGTGTGAAATTTGGTTAAGGTTTGTAGCATTCCTTGGTCATATTGTGTCAAGCAAGGGAATTGAGGTAGATCATATCAAGACGGATGCGCTCAAGAATTGGCCTAGACCTCTATCTCCTTCCGATATTAGAAGCTTCTTGGGTTTGGCCGGTTACTATAGAAGATTTGTTGAGAGGTTTTCCATTGCTTCTCCTTTGACTCAAAAGAAGGCAAAATTCATATGGTCGGAAGCTTGTTAGAAAAGTTTCCAACAGTTGAAAGATAGACTTACTTCCTCTCCGGTGTTGACCTTACCAGAAGGTACGAATGGTTTTGTGGTGTATTGTGATGCCTCTAGAGTTGGGTTGGGATGTGTGCTTATGCAAAATGGTAAAGTGATTGCCTATGCTTCAAGGCAACTTAAAGTCCATCATAAGAATTATCCTACCTATGACCTTGAGTTAGCGGCTGTTTTTTTTGCCTTAAAGAACCAGAGGCATTATTTCTATGGATTACATGTAGATGTTTTTACCAATCATAAGAGCTTGGAATATGTGTTTAGTCAAAAGGACTTGAATCTCCGCCAAAGAAGGTGGCTAGAATTATTGAAAGATTCTGACATGAGTGTTCTTTATCACCCCGGTAAAGCAAATGTGGTGGCGGATGCTCTTAGTCGACTGTTGATGGGTAGTGTTGCCCATATAGAGGATGAAAAGAAAGATTTGGTTCGTGATATTCATAGGTTGGCCCGACTAGTTGTTCAATTAATGGACTCCACAAAAGGTGGTGTCATGTTCCATAATTGGTCCGAATCTTCTTTTGCGACGGATGTGAAAGCTAAGCAAGGTCTTGATCCATTTTTTGTAGAATTGAGAGAGGCGGAGCTCAAAAACTCCGTTGAGAGTTTCTCCCAAGGGGAATATGGTTACTTAGATACCAAGGTCTTATATGTGTTCCAAATGGGGATGACTTGAGGGAACGGATTTTGACAGAAGCTCGTAGTTCGCGGTATTCTTTTCACCCGGGAGCCACCAAGATGTACCATGACTTACAAGAAGTCTATTGGTGGGATGGGATGAAGAAAGATATTGTGGAATTAGTGGCCAAGTGTCCTAATTGTAAACAAGTGAAAGTTGAACATCAAAGGCTGGGGGGTTTGTCCCAAGACATTGCTTTTCCAACTTGGAAGTGGGAATACTTGAATATGGACTTTATAGTTGGTTTGCCTCGTAACCGGCAACAATACGACTCTATTTGGGTTATAGTGGATTAGATGACGAAATCAGCTCATTTCCTTCCCGTCAACATTTTCCTATTTGGTGAAGGACTATGCCAAGTTGTACTTGAAAAAAATGGTAAAGTTGCATGGAGTGCCTTTGTCCATTATTTTCGATCGTGGTACCCAGTTCACTTCTCAATTTTGGAGGTCGTTCCAAAAGGGTCTTGGCAATAAAGTTAATCTTAGCACGGCTTTTCATCCCCACACCAATAGGCAAGCGTAGCTTACTATCCATACGTTGGAAGACATGTTAACATCTTGTGTGATTGATTTTAAGGGTAATTGGGATGACCATTTGCCATTGATAGAGCTTGCCTACATAATAGCTATCACTCGAGTATCGGTATGGCTCCATTTGAGGCTTTGTATGGTAGGAGGTGTAGATCTCTTATAGGTTGGTTTGAGGTGGGTGAAGTTGCTTTGATAGGTCCTGAGTTAGTTCATGAAGCTATTGAGAAAGTTCAACTTATTAGAGAAAGGTAAAAATGGCTCAAAGTTGACAACAGTTGTATGCTGAGGTTAAAAGAAGGGGTCTTGAGTTTGATGTTCATGATTGAGTTTACTTGAAAATCTCACCTATGAAGGGTGTGATGAGGTTTGGTAAGAAAGGGAAGCTTAGCCCCCGTTTTGTAGGCCCATATAAGATTTTGAGACCTGTTGGTAAGGTTGCTTATGAATTGGATATGTCAAGTGAGTTGGCATCGGTACATCTGGTTTTCCATGTCCCTATGTTGAAGAAATGTGTTGGTGATCTGACATCCATAGTTTCCTAAGAAGGTTTAGAAGTTAAAGAAGACCTTTCGTATGAAGAGGTTTCAGTTGAGATTTTAGACCGGCAAGTCAAGAAGTTTAGAAATAATGAAGTAGGTTCGTGAAGGTATTATGGAGGAATAATTTAGTTGAGGATGCTACTTGGGAGGCTGAGGCCAATATGATGTCCTGATATCCTCATTTTTTACCTTCTACTCCTACTCTAGGTTAAGGTAATGAGTTCCTCTTGGTTTGTTCTATGTTTTGGGAGTCATGTGTGTTTATGTGTTTCCATGATTTCCTTATGTTATGCATGTTCATTAGAGAGCTTAAATTTTGAAAGAAATGGCTTATATGATTTATTTTTCTCATGTTGTTGTGCATCGAGTATGACTTGCCTATATGTTTCATGAGATGATTATTGGACATGCATTAGATATGCTTTTGTGAATGAATTGCATAAGGGCTCTATAAGATTATGTTGATCATGATATTAGCATGGAGAAGGTAGTTCCTCCTTGAACATGAGAAATGTTGAGAAATTTTGAAATTTTCATGCATATTGGGTTGCTAGATGTAGTTCCTACTTCCTTATGTTGCATTTGAGTATGTTGAGTTTGGAGTTGATGTTTCCTCCTTATTTATGTGCATTGCATGCATAATGGGCTGATAGAGTTAGTTCACCCCTCTTTTGATGTTTTGAGAACGTCCTAGCTTGGAGTCGATAGTTCCTCCGTGGTTGTATGCATTGCATCGTAGGTTGGATTGTTAGTTCCTCTCCTACATTTTTAGAACAAGTTTAAACCTCATTCGGGGACGAATGATACCAAGGGGGAGATATTGTAACACCCCGTATGGAAAAGACCAAAAAAATAGCTTTTTCAGAACTTCTAGGTGTCAACCATGAAAGCCCAACCACGGCCCATGGTGTGGGCCACAGACCATAGTAGGGTCTGTGGATTGACCCCTCAGAAAAGGGTTCATACATGAACCATGGTGGTACCTACGGATCGTAGGTGGGACAACGCCCTGTGGATCAGTGGGCGTCAGTGGGCGTCAATGGGCCAAAACTCTCACAGACATGCAAGACGGACTGTAGGTCCACCCATGGTCCGTCGGTGGCGGGTCGTGAGTCAACTGCTGGCAGTTATTTTGAGGGTTAGTTGGGTCTTTTCCTAATTAATTAATACCTATACTATGTCATTTTCCCTATATTTAGAACCCCTATATAAGTGTTTTTACCCCGAAATTCACCCCATTTTATTCATTCTTCCAAATTCCCCAAAAGAAATCAAACTCCTCCCAAATATTCTCTCTAGAACTTGAAGAAGAAGACAAAGATTCAACCTAGGATTTCAAGGTAAGGGTTCAATTTCCCCATTGAAGATAGGGAAATGTAGCTGAGGTATGGTAGTTTTCATCCATGAATCTCTCTCATTCATGGAATCCCCAAATTCCTCTATTTCAAAAGGTAGAATTCCCCAATTAGGTAGGGTTTTCTTCAATCGCCATGGGTTCTTTTGACTATTGATCTTAATGATTGAATTATGATTAAATATGCATGAATTGATGATTTATAATTCTTTTATGATGCTTTCCTTTATGAACCCATATGGTCCATGTGTTTTCAAGTTATGAACTATATGTTGTGGGATTTTGATCTTAAAGGAAGAGTTTTATGAAATTAAGCATGTAATGAGAGAATTGCATGAGTTTATGATGAAATAGATAACTAAACCTTGTTTTCTACATTTTGATGGTTGAAATAGGGTTTTTGGCCTTGAGAGCTGATTGTGGAATTATGCATGTTTTCATGAAGACTATGTAAATACTTAAGGGTGCTTTGAGATTGAAGTGCCAAATGATGATGTTTTGTGTTATGTTGTGAAGGCCATTCTCATAAACACATACTATAATAATGTGGAAGGTTTTTCTCATATAGAAAGGATTCTTAGCTTGAAAGGTTATTCTCACCTAATTGAATCAATAAATAAGAGCTATCCTAATAAACTAGCTTGGATTGACAAGATGACATGGCTTTCCATGGATAATGAGAATAAGTAAAAATTACTATTCCTTGGAAATTATGCTTAGCACCGAGTGGATATTAACATTGAGATGAAAGTTGGGTTTCTAGAAGAAGTCTCATGAGATGGAAGCTCTCCCGTTAGTAGAGGCCGGGTTTCTAGTAGCAATCTCCTATCCCTTAACTGTGTGCCCCCATAGGTTGATTAGCTAGTGGATCCACTTAAGCTAGAAGTTCATGGTTCTACCTTAGGCATGTAGAACAACCCTTTTCAGTGTGCGAGACACGGGTGATCATGTTTTAGCTCACGTGGTCTCTATGTCGGTTAAGGCTAATTTTCCCACAACAAGACTAAAGGTGAACTAAGGTTACTCAAGGAGTATCTCATATGTATGTAATGTTTTAAATGATGATTTAGCTTGCATTGACCACGATGTTATGAATTATGTTTTCTAACCTTCTAATATCATGATTTAATTAATTGGTCAATTGCATATCATGAAATAAAAATGTTCTTCTTAGCATGTTTTAAATGTTTTAACGCATAACTATCATACTTAGTGCAATTTTGTACTAACACATACTCTTGCCTACAGTTTTTCCAAATGTAGGGTCCGA